AAATAATAGTTGGATTGATCACTCTGCTATCCTTGTGTATCCATATTTATCCAGAATAAATAGGATACACAAAATTAGCATTCAAATATTACATGAGAAAGTCCTTATCTTATACTCCTTCCAAAATACTTTTATGAAAGCATTTATTGGGTTGTTTTTCAATTTTATGCTGCAAACATTGTTTTTGCACATTTTTCATTAACTGAAGTTGCATATGATGTCATGGTGACTATATACCATTCATTTTATGTTATTTCTACACAGTTAGTTAAAGGAGTATTAAGACAAACTCAAAATGGGTTTCTCATTCTTCCACTGGACACCTGCATTGCCATTTGCAAAGCAGAAAATACATTATCGTTCAGTAAACTATCTCCTATTATGATAATAATAAATGATACATAAACCAGTCTAAAACTAAGTTCAACCATAATAATTCAAGAACATACCAGTTCTGGGGATTACACAGAAATCCAGCCAATGTGCAGCAGGAAACCTGTGTTCAAACAGGAGGCATACAAAGAGTTGTGGTGAAGATAAGGAAGACACTTCATTTGTGGAACATCAATAGCTGATGATTTGCTCTTGCACTCAGTCACTGTTGTAAGTCTCCTTTCCACCTACACAGGTAGGAAGACTAAGAAAGACACATTCCCCTACTGTGGAAGTGAGACCGCTTACTTACAGAACCACCCCTTGGCAAGACCTCGTTTCTTTCTTTTTTTTTTCCCTCTGCACTTCAATAACTTTTAAGCCTTTAGAAAACTGAGCTCTGGAGAAAGAGCTCCTCTGTCCCTGCTTTTGTATTTAGTTTGATAGGGAACAGACTGATCTCTATTAGCAAACTGGAGATCAGGTTCCTTTACTGAAAATGGGGGCTTATAGGGATGCTGGAGAGGGACTCTTCATTAGAGACTGTAGTGATAGGACAAGGGGTAACGGGTTAAAACTTAAACAGGGGAAGTTTAGATTGGATATAAGGAGGAAATTCTTTCCTGTTAGGGTGGTGAGGCACTGGAATGGGTTGCCCAGGGAGGTTGTGAATGCTCCATCCCTGGCAGTGTTCAAGACCAGGTTGGATGAGGCCTTGGGTGATATGATTTAGCGTAAGGCGTCCCTGCCCACGGCAGGGGGGTTGGAACTAGATGATCTTAAGGTCCTTTCCAACCCTAATTATTCTATGGTTCTATGATATTGGACACCAGAGGATTTTTTGGTATTTGTGAAGACTGAAGGAATTTTTTTAATTTTGCTTTTGTTTCTCACTCTCTGAATTATGTTAATTGGAAACTAATCTTCCATAACTCTGTTTTGCCCATGATAGTAACTGCTATGTGGTGTTCCTGTCTTTATCTTCACTCACAGGCTTCTTAATCTTATTTTCTCCCCCTGTCCTGCAGAGAAGGAGGAGGAGGAGTGAGAGAGAAGCCAAGTGAGTGTTCGGCAGCCAGCAAAGGACGACCCACCACAAGATGCTAGAGGAAAAGCAGCCTGCAGGAAAAGGAGTCCCTGCCCGCCTTGTGTGGGTTATCGCACCCTCTTTCCAATGTAAGGCTAAGATTATCACTACACTTGCTCTCACAATCATCACTACTTGCTGAGTCTACTGCTAGTCCTTTGCCAGCACTGACCAGTATCCAGTGTTTAAGCTTCTTCTTATATTTCTGATTATCTTAGGTGTTAGCTTCTCATGGTCATTCCTTGTTTACAGCATTTCTAGTTTGCAGTGCTCCATCTGTTTATGCTGAAATAATTACAGAGCCCTCTAATGCCTGGATACTATCAAATAATTCAGCTCATTTAGATTTGCATATTAATTATTTATCTGTCACCCAGAAGGAAAGGACGAGTTTCACTGAGTCCTCCCTTGGCAGATGGAATGACTTATCTTCATTTACTGCCTGCATGAAGATACTACTCTTGGACTATTTCTATTGTAATTCTGTTTCATTGTATGTCATCGGGTTCCAACATGATTTGTGAGGTAAGTAATTTTAAAGGCAGAGAAACCAACACACCAGGACACAATGCAAACCTGTATCATGTCAGGAGGTTCAGATTCTAGCTTCACTTCAGGTCTCCCTTCCAACAAATGGCCATTCATGATTTTTTTTCAAGAAATGCGCTAACTTATGGCTTCAGTGTTTAGATTTGGGTTTTCTCTGGGTTTGATCTTAATATTTTAGAGCTAAATTTATTTTTTCAAGTTGTGCCCCAGCTGTTTGGTAGTTTGATAGCTTCTGATGTTTCTCCTTGATAGTTTCATTCACTTATATATTTTAAAATGCTTTACTTATGCTCTTTCCCTTTATTCCCTCCATCTCTATTAGTGTTTTTTTTTTTTGTACTTTGTAGGGAAATGAGCTAGCAATGACAGAAGTCAGTACTTCTGGCTGATAACTTCAGTGAGCTGTGGAGGAAGTCCTAAAGGCTCACACCTTCCAGACAGAGCTAATATTCTGGCTGGAACAGCTCCCAGACCAGGCGTGTTTCAACAAGTACACCTGTGATTAAGCTGAGCTGTGAAATCAGAAGCACACAGAAATGGAAGGCCCCTGGCAGGTTTCTAACTTTATTCAGAACAGTGAATAAACACAGGCAGGTACAAAATCCTTCTGGAATTTAATAGGGCCCAGCCCTATTTAAAAGGAAGGAATTCAGCCCTACCAAAACCAGTGATCAGTTGTCTCCAGTCACAGGCCAGAGTAATGTGCAGCTGCACAAGCCTGTGCTGGCATGGGGACCTCGGCAGCGCACCTGGTCCCCGGAGGTGGTGTATTGGATGGTGTCCAGGGGTTGGCAGCTGGGGTGGCCTCAGTGAGAAGAGGCCAGACCAGCTGAGTGGGCACCTGCCAGCCAAGCAAGGTCAACCCACCACATGTGGACAGAGAGCTGTTGATCTGCTTTTAAGAGGAACTGGCCATTGTCCCCAGAGTCCAGTTCACCTGGCCCCCAGGACAGCTACAGCCGTAGGCAGTTCCCTTCCTTTTCTGCTCTTTCCCAGCACAGGCCTCACAAGGATAACCCTACCACATCCAGGGCTGCAACATGTGGCTTGAACAGTCCATCATAGGGACATCCCAACTCCCTACAGAAAGGGACCATATGTCCCCGCAGGCCCTACTTATCATAGAATCATAGGATCATAGAATGCTTTGGGTTGGAAGGGACCTTAAAGCACATCTAGTTCCAAACCCCCCTGCAGGGACATCTTCCACTATACCAAGTTGTTCAAAGCCCCCGTTCATCCTGGCTTTTTACACTTCCAGGGCTGGGGCAGCCACAGCTTCTCTGGGCAGCCTGCTCCAGTGCCTCAACATGCTCACAGTGAAGAATTTTTTCCTATGGTCTCATCTAAATCTACCCTCTGTCAGTTTAAAGCCATTCCCCCTTCTCCTCCTCCTCTTCTCCAGAGTCCACCCAGGCAGGCAAGAGAGGATACAGGTATCCCCAGTGCCACACTACAATCAGGACACTGAGCTCTAGAAGAGTCCACACACTCAAGAGGAGGCTGGACAAATTCAGGGACCATAACTATACCCACAGTTATTGAATACAAAGATACCTCTTCTGGCTGAGGTATTCCATAAGCTGAAATGGTGGAGAATGGGAGAACATCTGCAGGAAGTAGTACTGCAGGAAGTACTACTACATGCTCACCTCACTCATACCATGGCTAGAGATAGGATCCTGAGTTGGGTGGCCTTGTAAAGCTGTTCTTTATTTCTTATATATCATCACCATTGAACAAAATCTGTTCCAAATTTTGTTGAATCTAGAAAAAGTCATAAGAAAGCTGTCTTCTACAAATCAAATCCTTGTAATAGCCTTCATCTCTTCTAGTTATCATTTACATGACTATTATGTCAGTTTTAAATTGTCATATTCACGTAATCTTTTTTGAAGGGAGAATAAAGCAAGTCCAGTTGCCTCTCCTGACAACTAATTTTTGTAAAGAAAATGTGCCTTTCTAACACAGCTTTTTCATGTAGCCCAAATGCTAGCATTCTTTGAGGGTTTGGAAAACATTTGGGAAAAATATTACAGCAGAGGGGTCACCTTTGCTAGCTACCTTTCTTTTTTGCTAGCTACCTTTCTTTTCAAGGTCAGGATTGAATGATTCAGGAGGAATAGCTTCAGACAGCATTTAATTTACCTCTCTGACTGCATAATAAAAATGTGACACTCAGGAATGACGGGTAGAAACTATTGTTGGTCTACTTAAGTAGTTGATTCTGTCTTTCCTCTGTAACACCATCCTATGACATGGATTAAGATCAGAAAAGACAGAATTTTTCTCAGACAAATATAATTTTGTCAAAATAATATCTTTTTGTTCTTTACTAATACAACATGCATAGTTGTAACAGAAAATTGCAGAAGAATGAAAATGTTATTTTTAGCATTTTACTATTGCTTTTACTATTTCCTATTTTTCCATAACATTTAATAACTCACTCTATAGTCAGATTGCCCATGAGAGGTACTGTCTTTATTAATTACTGCAGAATCCAGCACACTCTGAATGTTTTTTGGCCTACTAGGATCATTGAGATAACCATAAACATCCTCAGACTTAAACAGCACGATAGCACAGTGCTTCTAGTGACTATATATTTGGTTTGGTTTGCTTTTTGTGTAAACTTTGTAACTCCAAAGACACTTGGAAAAGGAGGGATGCTAAGAAAATTGTCTTATCTCTGTTGAGATGCTGTCTGTGCTGGCATGTTAAATCATACTTGGTTATGAGCTTGAAAAGTGGCATTCATTGCCATAACAGCAAATACAATTTTGTGACCAGATTGGACGAGGACCTGTCTTGATGAGTAACTCCATCAGCTGTCCATGGCTAAATTGAATACCTGAGTTAGTGTTACTCAAAGTAATTCTCTCAGGCAGAAGATAACATTAGAAGGAACCTAAACCTTAATCTACACACACTCATTTGTGATACCACATCTGAATAAAGTGATGTATTTTGAAAACACTTTTCAAGACCATTTATGTAGTGGCTTATACTTTATTAGTTCTGTACATTCCTGAATTGTTTTCTCAAGAGAAAAAAATGACAAGACATAGTTCAGCCTTCTTAAGATATAGCATCAACATGACATCCTTACTAAAGAGGCTTTAGAGAGACCAGTATTTTCAATATATAATTTCCTATCACATAAGTGATTTATCCTTACCATTTATCTCTGTTGTGATATTCTTTCTTTGTCAATAATAGTTAATCTGAAGGCAGTTTGTAACAGTCTAATAGCCAGATAGACTAATGACCCCTGCAGCCTCACCTCAGATCCTTAACACAGATAGCTAATAAATTATGGTAATAACAGGTAGAATTATTATCATTGCCAAGCATAAGGATCCTTTTTATATGCAATGTAATTATCTCTTTATGCTATGCTATCTTTTTAGGTTACACATATTAGGAAGTAGAAAGGTTAGAAAAATCATAAATATCAGATCAAAAAAAAACATAGCAGCATTAAGCATGGCTATTCTGTCTGAGGAACTGACAGAGATGGACCTTTGGGATCATCAAATCTGCTGTTTGTTGTGAGCTGCATGATCATATGGATTCCATATGCCAGGATCCACAATAAAACTATAGATGTCACCAAGCCCATCCAGATCCCAGGAGTGAAGAAACCTGTACAGTCACTTGCGTAGGAAAACTGGTTGTTTTCAATGTTGAAGCCTTGAATCTGAAAATGAAGAAAAGTAGACAGATTAGTGCAATTAAGCATGGATAGTAGGCCTTACCTTCAGGATACATGTGGTAGTTACAAAAACATACCTGTTAATAACCACTCACACTCTACTCACTTAAAAAGAGTGAGAACCAAATCCCTGACATAACAATTTTCCAGATCCCCTTTTCGCCCAGGAAATTTAAAGATGCAGAATTCATTTGTCTGCAAGAAGGTTTCCCACTTCAGAAATGTGTGCTACTTTTAGGCAAAGTCCCAAAGGGGACATGTGGTCAGTATTGCTCAATGACCATTTAAGAACCAGGAAACTCAAAGCTCTCAAAGGCATAAGAGTTAAGCCACCAGCCCTGAGAGCTTAAAATTTATTGAAATCCCCTGAGTTTTTTACTATTAAGTCCTTGACAAGATGAACTCCTGAAATCTGCTTTAAAATGCATCTAATGAAGATGACCTTTTGGGTTGAGTTTTGGTGAAAGTTCAAACAGTTCTGAAGCCTTTCTTCCCTCCTCCTTAGACATCAGAGACTTGAAAACAGGAGAGAGGACTTGTTTTATTGAGGTGTGGGATGTGTTTGTCTATTAACATATGAAACCCATAGAAGCTTTTCCAGCAGTTAGAAAAATCTGTAATATCTCTCCTTTGACTGGATTTTTGAGGTCTGCCACTGACTGAGCTCCAACCATACTACTTTCCTCAGAAAAATGAACTAATCTGGGGATCTGTTCTCTGCTTAGCCATCACCTTCTCAAGAAGTATCAGCAAACAAAATGCCTTTGAGACCATTATCCTTCCAAAAATTTTCATAAATCCAGTCAAAGCATTAGAAAAATTATGAAGAAAGGCAAGACATGTCCCCCTCTACACACATGCACCTAATGACATAGGCAACAATTCCTTCAGAAGAAAGGGAATCTAACTGATGAAAGCAAATGATGAAAGGAAAGAATTAATTTTTCTTAAATAATTCTATATATATTAAAAAAAAAGAAGACTGGGATTCTTCTGCATTTACAGATTGTTTGAAATATGTGCCTAAGGAAAGCACCAAATATCATAAATCCACCAGTAAAGAAACAAGACCTTAAAACTGACTATTTTTTATGAAACATCATAGAACAATATAATAAAGTGATTCTTTTATTTAAATCACTTCCCCCACCAGGCAGTAAGCAAGGAAGATCATGGATTTCTATTTTTCCCACTCCATGATTACTCTATGCTTAGCATGCTAATAAGAGAGGTTTTACTTCCTAGGAAAGGTGTTGGTACAAACACTGAAGAACTTAGTTTGTGGCTTGCATACCACACTGCACCAGCGAGCACTCTGGGTTTCAGTTTATTCATGGCCCAAGCACCTGAAGTTAATGTGTACATAACATGTGCGTTAAGACCAATGTCTATACTTTCCAGAATGTTGATTAAACTATTCTCATATGGAGAACTAAGGGCTATTTTGGTACTGTGGAGCTGAAGAAAATTTTAGCAGTCCAAAACGTCTCTGGGCCTTTTAGAAGAATCTTTCCAAGTCAGATTATGGTAGCTAGCTTTCAAAGACTGCCTGTTTTCACTATAGGCAGTCATATTAATGCTTCTGATTAAAGCAGGATTAGAGAAAATAAGGTTTTGGGTTGGATAACTGTTTGCATAGTTTTAGAGAACACAGGTGATTACCAAAATCTTTGCTTGTTAAGCCACTGCTTTAACAACAGATGAGAACGTGAATAGGAGTCATGAAGTGTGGTCTGAAAGACTTAGTTAGAATAGAATCAGGAAGCAGGTGATGATTTATGTCATTTATAGTGAAAGAACTGATTGAAATTCTGGAAAACAATACACACTTGTTATGACATTTACAAGAACCCTCTGAAGCACTTAGCAGATATATTTGGTTTAGAAAGGTTTTATCACTTCCAATTTAGAGGCAGAAATACTGAATTTTATCATATCAATCCTATTGTGATTTTATTGGTTTTTTTTCTACGCAGTATTATGCTCACCGAACCTTTGAGGTGAAAGCTTTAATTGTACATTCTTAAAATGCTCTGTCTACTTCTAGGCATGAGATGAAATATATGCGGGGTTCTCTTATTGTTTTTCTGAAGCTTTATCATTTCTGTGGGGGTGTTAGATTCCAGGTGGGAGATAAAAATGTGACTTCCAGCAGCATTTCTATCTATAGAAAAGCTAAAAATACTTACATGTGATTCTCTAGTTTTTATGAATGTAAAAGCCTTTTGGACAGAGACTTGTGTACTGCGGAAGTTTTAATTTTAGTGTTTGGAGCAGCATCATTTGTCATGGTTACACTGGTCTGCATTTCCTGTTAATTTTTTAATTTTTTTTTTTAATGGAGTTCTTTCATCATTTGAGCTTTGACAAAGCCTTCAAGTAAAATCTGTTGTTTTCATGGCTCTTAAGTGTACACTGAACATCTGATTCTGATCAGAAATATTTTAGCCACAAGGAATCATAATATTCTTGATTTGAAAGGTTTTGGCAGTTTTTCTTAGCAATAAAGTGGACTCTAGACCACTATGACACATACTAAAGAAAAGCAGTGCTTTTGGCGGCAGCCTTCTCTTTCAGTCCATAGGTGATTCTGAGATCCTCAAAAGGATAAAAGATATATTGGCAGAACAACCATTGCAACAATGAAACCAACAAAAAACTGCCCCAGAACCAGAGCAGTTTTGGTAGTGTACAGCTATGAGTGGTGACATCCAAGGCTATAGGCACTCTTAGACAACATCCCACAGAAGTTCTTTAGGTGGTAGTGACATATATAGCTCCACAACTAAAGTGAAAGGATGTATCAGTTCAGCCTTGCCTTGGGACAAGCTATGCAAGGCTTCACTGTGCAGGTACCATGTCTCTCTATACTAAGCTGTAGTTTCCTAGGTAAACAAAGTGCAAAGAATTCAAATAAAAACAAAGTAAGCATCATAAAGCCACTCACCTAGGAGGTGCACATTTCCCATAGCAGCCCAACTTATTAAACAGGTATGTGGACTTAGTCATTCTTTGCCTGATTAAGTACATTTGGTTGTATTGGTTTTTCTTTTCTGTGGACTACATCATTGTTTTTTGTTTTTCAAAACTGTGCTTTCATGTTGTTATTGTTCAGCAACTGGCATCCTTTTTACCCCTTTATTGAATGGATCACCTAGGGGGAGCAAATTCTCTTTTACATTTTCCCTCAAGCTGAAATGAAAGTAAAGTCATTATGAATGTGTGCTGTTCAGCACCTACAATAGCAAGTAATAGTTCTTGAAATCATCTCTGAAATGGCAATGTGTACTCACTTGCAACCTGGAAATGAAAACATCCCAGTTTTTTGCCTCATTGTTGGATGGAATAAGCCTTGCAGGATAAAGATTGCTTGTTCCCACCAGCTGACAATGAGATGAATACTCTGCAGGAGCAGAGATGACAGAAACATTAAATTTAGCGAACTCTTCTCCATCTTTTACAATCTCAACTGAATCTAAAGTGGACCAGTTTCTAGCTGAGCCTTCATAGAACTTGTTGGTCATTAAAAACCTACAAAGAAAACAGAAGGGGAAAAAAGAAGTCAAAATGACAGAAGGAAAAAGTCAGTATTCATTTGATAAAGTACTGGTGGTAGATAAAATTTCACTGTTGCTAGCTGCAGACATCACAGTTGGTATCTTAGCTTGGCCTCCCATGTCATTAGGATTGTTCATAAATGAAGAGATTCTGTGAATATGCTTTTACTACTTACAGTTTCATCTCAAAAGTATAGCTTTCCATAGCTGTGGCAGGCAAGAAACAAATGCAATTTCATTCAAGGGCCTTTGCTAGTGCAGTATTTCAGCAGTTACCAACAGTTTATAATCACTGGAGCAGAACCCGAGAGACTGTCAGTCAGCCTGCAGTGGCTCTCAATAAACATTTTATGAGGTTTTCTGAAAATTGCTTTTATGTTAGGTGCAGGCATGATAACCAGTCTGATTTATCATTGCAATTCTTCCTTGGCTCAGATGCCTAAATGGCAATTTTCTTTGCAAATGTCTGAATTTGCAGGGGAAGACAGTTTTCTCTCACTGGAGGGTAGGGAGGGGTCATCAGCTCTAGTCTCCCAGCTCATAGTGGGTAAGGCACAAATAACTATTTTCTCATTGTGAAAAGGTCTGTCTATGTGTGGTATTGCAGCTGTTTCCAATAGTTTATAATCATGGGCTTTATACATATGTTACTACCATTGCAGTCTGAATACCTCCCAAATAAATGTTCTGAAACAGAAATAATTGAGAACATCCAGAAATATATCCCAGTCCTTTGCAGATCAGGACTATACCCTGGTCTTTACCACTTTTTACCCAGTTACTTTTAAGTATTCAAGTTATCTCATAAGGATAGGATAAAGTTTCCTCCTTATTGTATGCTGATTAATACTTTAACCTTACTTGGTCTATGAATGTATTGTGGAAGGTTTTTTAGTTTTGCTTATTGATAACCGCAAAGTATTTAGAAAAGGAAGCTTTTAGCAATAAAAGAGGCTCTCTACAAAATGAATTATTCTGCTTCTGCACAATGCAAAACCCACTGTATGTGGATTTTAAAATCTGGGATAATACCTAGATGAAATTATGACAAGTTTGAAAAATAAGCAGTCATCTATAAATATAGCACAATATAGAATATTTTCTGGTCTGGTGGGTACATATGTATAGACAATATTCTCTGTTGTAGAATATTGCTTACTTGTTAAAATCAGTTGCTTTCAGTAGCACAACACAGAGTCTAAATTCAACACAATGCACCTTAGGAGCTTTTGATTCATAGGACTTCCGAATCCTCAAGGGCTTCAAAATGCTTAAAGGAATCCTAGAACTCAATGTGTCATTCAGGTGAGAAAAGGATGTTTTGCTTTATTGCATTTCTTGCACTTTAAGCCTAAACAGCTCTTTCCATGCAACATTCAGCTGGAAGTGAAATATTCAGCATCAGTGAAAATGGAAAAAAAACATTTCCATTTCATCTAACACACATTCACAAATATTTATGGAAAATATTCTATTGCTACAATGAAAAAGCTACAAAATGAAAACATGCATTAACTTAGATGTTAATTCCTCGAAGAAAGGTGTCTGATATAGAGCCCAATCTGAACAGAATTTCCATCATGTCCCAGTACAGTGCCACAGGCAGTAGCTGAAGGCCAGTTATAAGCACAGAAAAGTTGACTTAAATGTTTGTGCCAACCACAGATGCTGGGTGTGCTCTGTACTTTTGCTGAGCAGATAAGTGGCAAACGAGGAAATTTTTCAGAGACTTACCATATGAACAAACAAGTTTTATAGGGTTATGTATGTGAGTACAATCCAAAGTGACCGCCACAGAATCATAGAATACTTAGGGTTGGAAAGGACCTTAAGGTCATTAAGTTCCAACCCCCCTGCCACGAGCAGGGACACCTCACACTAAACCATGCCACCCAAGGCTCTATCCAAACTGGCTTTGAACACCACCAGGGATGAAGCATTCACAACTTCCCTGGGCAACCCATTCCAGTGCCTCACCACTCTCACAGTAAAGAACTTCTTCCTTATATCCAATCTAAACTTCCCGTGTTTAAGTTTTAACCCGTTACCCCTTGTCCTATCACTACAGTCCCTAATGACGAGTCCCTCTCCAGCATCCCTAAAGGCCCCCTTCAGATACTGGAAGGCTGCTATGAGGTCTCCACACAGCCTTCTCTTCTCCAGGCTGAACAGCCACAACTTCCTCAGCCTGTCTTCATACGGGAGGTGCTCCAGTCCCCTGATCACCCTCGAGGCCCTCCTCTGGACTTGTTCCAACAGTTCCATGTCCTTTTGATGTTGAGGACACCAGAACTGCACACAATACTCCAAGTGAGGTCTCATGAGAGCAGAGTAGAGGGGCAGGATCACCTCCTTCGACCTGATGGTCACGATCCTTTTGAAGCAGCCCAGGATACGGTTGGCTTTCTGGGCTGTGAGAGCACACTGAAGCCGACTCATGTTCATTTTCTCATTGACCCAACAAACCCAAGTCCTTGTCCTTGGGCTGCTCTGAATCTCTTCTCTGCCCAACCTGTAGCTGTGCCTGGGATTGCTCCGACCCAGGTGGAGGACCTTGCACTTGGCATGGTTAAACATCATGAGGTTGGCATCAGCCCACCTCACAAGCATGTCAAGGTCCCTCTGGATGGCATTCCTTCCCTCCAGCGTATCAACCGAACCACACAGCTTGGTGTCACTGGCAGACTTGCTGAGGGCGCACTCAATCCCACTGTCCATGTCAGCCACAAAGATGTTGAACAAGACCGGTCCCAACACCGATCCCTGAGGGACGCCACTCATTACTGGTCTCCAGCCGTACATTGAGCCATTGACCACAACTCTTTGTGTGCAGCCATCCAGCCAGTTCTTTATCCACCAAGTGGTCCAGCCATCAAACTGATGTCTCTCCAATTTAGAGACAAGGATGTCGTGTGGGATAGTGTTGAATGCTTTGCGCAAGTCCAGGTAGATGACATCAACTGCTCTACCCCTGTCCATCAGTTCTGTAGCCCCACCATAGAAGGCCACTAAATTGGTCAGGCAGGATTTCCCCTTAGTGAAGCCATGCTGGCTGTCACCAAGCACCTTGTTGATTTTCATGTGCCTTAGCATGCCTTCCAGGAGAATCTGCTCCAAGATTTTGCCAGGCACAGAGGTGAGACTGACTGGTCTGTAGTTCCCTTTGTCATCCGTTTTCCCCCTCTTGAAAATGGGGGTTATATTTCCCTTTTTCCAGTAATCGGGAACTTCACCCGACTGCCATGATTTTTCAAATATGATAGCCAGCGGCTTCGCAACTTCATTTGCCAGCTCCTTCAGGAACCGTGGATGGATTTTATCAGGTCCCATGGACTTGTTCACTGGACCTGATGAAATCCATATGTGGAGAACACTTTCTCTTCATATTGCAACAGAGACTAAAATTTTAGGTTACTTGCAGTTTTACGAGGATTATCATTCTAATTAGTGAACTAGCTGAGCATGCTTAACTTAATAACACAGGCTTTTATCCTTAGCATTTTTCCAAACAACTGAGAGTGAACAGCCTCCAACAAGCACATGCTTATCCGGTACAGCTATAATTCAGTAAACAATAACAAAGCCATTCAAACAACAAAAAGCAATAGAATTACTTAATTTAGTTTAATATTTTCTCAGATGAGTAGACAGCAAATAGAATGAGCACAAAATAGCAAATGAATGACAAGGGAATAGAGTTAACAAAGATTTTATCTGCAGAATTGAAAATGCCTTGGCTTTTATGGGAAACACTGTATTCGTATTAAACATCAGGCCTGACTCCTTTTGTGCCAGGTAGCCATATGAACTCTAACTCCCACCACCTGGTACAGATCACCATCTCATGCACCTATTCATTACAAAGAGAAATATTTCAAGAAAAAAAACTAGCAGGAATTACTACTGTGTCAAAGATTCAAGAGAAACACCACCATTGGGTAAAAGACTTTAAAACATGTTTTTGAATCAGTTCTATTCTGTACATGCTATAAGCAACAACAGTCAAGTACTTATCAGTATAAGTGGGGTAAATACTAATGCTCTGCACTTCCATTTACTTTGACACTTTTTCCCAGAGAAGATGACAGACAGGTGCTTGAACATCTGGATGTCATCAGCTCCTGAGAGAACTGACATGCCTCTTCCAGCAAAAGGTACTGCCCACTGCTCCCTGCTGTGGCAGCAGCTCACTTCTCTAAAACTAGCACAACCAGAACCACTGCACAACCACACCCTAACAGCTCACCTCTCAGTGGCAAGTGCAGAAGGATGAATGGGGCTGATGCTCGTGCTAGAGAGAGGGAGAAGGAGATGGCAGCTCTTTGCATGAGAGGAAGCAGCTATTGACGCTGCTAGTAAGAGGTGGGATATGACTAGCACGAAGTGGTAGACTAGTGGTGTGTCCTTGTTTCAGCTGGGATAGAGTTAATTTTCATCCTAGTAGCTGGTACAGTGCTTCGGTTTTGATTTAGTGTGAGAATAATGTTGATAACACACCAATGTTTGAATTGTTGCTAAGTAGCACTTACTCTTTCAGGGTAAATATCAAGGACTTTTCAGTCTCTTCTGCTCTGCCAAGTGAGGAGGAGCACAAGAAGCCAGGAGTGAGCAGAGACAGGACACCTGACCCAAACCAGCCAAAGGGGTATTCCATACCACATCACGTCATTCCCAGTATATAAACTGGGAGAGAGTCACACAGAAGGGACCAATTACTGCTCAGGTCAGGCTGGGCATTAGTCAGTGGGTGGTTAGCAGCCGTACTGTGCAACATTCTTTTTTCCCCTCAGGTTTTATTCCTCTCTCTCTCCAGATCCTTTTTGTTGCTACTACTAATTATTATTATTGTTGTTACATTGTTATTATTTTATTTCAATTACTAGACTGTTCTTATCTCAACCCACCGGTTTTGCCACTTTCTCATTCTCCCCTCCATCTCACCACAGGGGCAGGGGGAGTGAGGGAGCAGCTGCA